TCTCTCCCATGCCCTCTCAAATTCTTGACCTCTTCTTTAATTTACACACACACATACAGACAGACTACTGAGGCTGTTTAGTGTTACTAATATGCAGAGATATCTAAGGCTGACTCTTCAGGATTGCATAACCTATCAGACAGCTTGTTCCTGGAGAAAACTGAAAACTCCATCCCTCAACAGCGATTGGTTGTCTGTACTTCTTCATCCAGGTGGGACCTTGGGAAATTCCATGGGTGCAGCCTCCTGTGCTATTTGAAGGCACTATCAGAAGGCACCCTGATCCCCTGCCTCTTATATTCTTTCTGCCTCTTCTTCATCAATGTTGGCTGAGCCTTAGGTATAGGGTTTGCATTGCAGACATATCAATAGGGCTGGGTACCTCATAGTAACTTAGTCTTTGCATTTTGACCTGTTGTGGATCTCTGTGTTGGTCTTCATCTGTCTCAAAAAGAAGCTTCTTTGAAATGAAGGATGAGAACCTCACTAATACCTGAAGAGTCTTCTTTTGAATTCTGGCTAGCTTTACTACATCATAAAAGCAACATTTAGTAAATGTTTACTAAAATGGTAATTATCAATTGAATATGCAAGATAGATCTATGTACTTTTTAAAAGATTTATTCTTACTTTTATTTGTGTGTGTGTGTCTGTGTGTATTTGTGTTAGTATACGCCATTTGCATTTGGGTGCCTGCAGAGGCCACAAGAGGGTTGTTAGATGTCCTGAAACCAAAGTTACAGGTAGTTGTGAGTTGCCAACATCAGAGCTAGGAACCAAACTTGGGTCTTCTGGAAGACTGTCAAATGCTCTTAACAACTGAGCTACCTATCCAACCCCAGATCTATGCACTATTATTTATTTAAATGTAAAATGTCACATTTTTGTTAATTTCCATATAACAAAAATGTTGAGCATATATTGATCATAAAAGACATAGCACGTTAATGTGAACTACCATCATGTCCCATGGTATAGCACAGGAGAATTTATTCCTTCTATCTGACTGTATTTTTAGTGCTAATTATTGAGACTTTCTCTTGATTCTCTTTCCGCTTTTACTTCCACCTCTAGTAATTACTGTTCTACATTGAGATTAACATTTGAAGTTTCCACATATAAATAAGAACATTCTGAATTTGTCTTTCTGTGTCTGGTTTGTATTATTTAGCAGAGACTTGAGTACCATCCAGTTTGTTGCAAATATCAGGATTTCATTCTTTCTATGACTGAATAATATGCCTTTTGTGCATTTATAGCATAAAAAAATATACTCTTCTGTTGACAAAATCAACTCTTAGCCTGATTTTATATCCAAGGTGATGTGAAGAATGCTGTAATAAACATGACAGTACAGGCAACCCTTTAACAGATTAACTCCATTTCCTTTGGATTTATATCCAGAAGTGGGATTTCTGGATTCAAACTTGTTTAAACTTTTACTGAGTTTGTTATTTGAAAGTGTCATATCTGTGTAGTGCACATCCTGATTATTATAACCCCCTTTATTCTTGTTCTATCTGTGTCCCCTACCTCTTTACACATCCCCTTCCACATTCAAATCTTTTTTACTGAAGAACCTCCACGGTGTTCAACATAATAGCATGTAGTAATTTATACTCCCACCAACAGTGTATAAGTTCCCAATTCTGTTTTCCCTGATCCTCTGGAATATTTTGTGATTTATTAAATAGCCCCTTGAATTATATGATGATTCACTGTACTTTTGACTTGAAACTAAATCTTTTTTTGTCATTCTCATTTTATTTCTCATGGCTAAAGGACATCTGTTCATTCTCAAATAACTGATGAGGAATTGTACGGAAGTGACAGAGTTCATCCTCCTGGGACTAACCAATGCCCCAGAACTGCAGGTTCCCCTCTTTGTCATGTTCACCCTCATTTATCTCATTGATATTGTTGGCAACCTGGGGATGATCATGCTGATTCTCACAGACTCTCGACTCCACACCCCCATGTACATTTTCCTCTGCAATCTGTCTCTGGTGGACTTGGGTTACTCCTCAGCTGTGATCCCCACAGTCATGTCTGAGTTCCTCATAGGATACAAGGTGGTCTCCTACAGTGCATGTGCTGTGCAGATGTTCTTTTTTATAGGCTTTGCCACTGGAGAAAATTACCTCTTGGCATCAATGGCCTATGACTGCTTTGCAGCAGTGTGCAAACCCTTGCATTACTCTACCACCATGACCATGAGTGTATGCATTTGTCTGAACATAGGCTCCCATGTCTGTGGTTTCTTGAATGCCATTTTTCATATTTGAAACATATTCAGTCTCTCTTTTGGTACATCCAATGTCATCCATCACTTTTTCTGTGATGTTCCAGCAGTCATGGCTCTGTCATGCAATGATGCAAACCTTAGTGAAGTGATTTTTATTTTTACGTCAACTTTTAATGTCTTCTTTGCTCTTCTGATTATCTTGATTTCCTATCTGTTCATATTCACTCCATCTTGAAGATGCCATCAGCCCGGGGACATCAAAAAGCTTTGTCCACCTGTGCCTCCCACCTCACTGCAGTATCCATCTTCTATGGGACTGTCATATTCATGTACCTACAGTCCAGCTCTAGTCACTCCATGGACACTGACAAAATGGCATCTGTGTTCTACACTATGATCATCCCTACACTGAACCCTCTGGTCTACAGTCTGAGAAACAAGGAGGTCAACAATGCATTTAAGAAAGTGATAGAGAAGGCTAAAGATTTTATATGACTGGGATTTCAGCTTTGTAATATGCAAAATGATTTTTAAACTTTCTTCACACATAAGCTAGCTTTAAGCTCTTTTATGTACAGGGATTCATGAGGTAACAGATATATCTCTTCAGAAGTCTTTTCATAATATAAAAATTATGTTCAGAAATGTAAGGTTTAAATAAGGAAAGACAAGCAGAATTTTATGAAACTTTGGGATTTTTCATATCTTAGAAATGACATTTGACTTATCCACTCCATTATATTTTTCCCTAGCACATTCCAATATATACATACATAGATATACATACATGTATGTTTGCATGGAGAGGCTGGAGGACAACCATGGGTGTCATTCTTCACACTTCACCTACCTTGTTTTTTGGTATGGGCTCTTGCACTGACCCCAAGGATTACCATTTAGGCTAGACTGGTGCCCACATTGTGATTTGAATGAGAAACATCCCCCACAGGCTCAGGTATTTGAAGACTTCCTAAGTGGTGGTGCTGTTGGGGAAGTGCTGTAGCCTTGCTGGGGGATGTATGTCTTTAAGAGGTGAGCTTTGTGGGTTACAGCCTCACCCCACTTTCAGTTCACTCTCTCTGCTTTCTGTGAGTGGATTGAAATGGGATCTCTCTGAGTTTTGTGATCCTGCTGCCTACTGCCATGCCTTCCCCACCACTGTGGACTCTTCCTTTGAGACCATAAACCTAAATAAACTCTTCCTTTTATAAGTTGCCATTGGTCATGGTGTTTTATCACAGCAACAGCATCAAAAACTAACTAATTCAGCTGGCTAGCCAGTGATCCCCACCGGTCCTCCAGCCTCCACCTACTGGCACTGGGATAAAAGGCAATCACAGCCACATAGAACATTTACATGAGTTCTGAGGATCAAACCTGGGTTCTCTTGCCTATACAAAAAAAAAAACACTTTACCAACTGAGGCATGTCCCCAGTCACTGAAGCATACTCTTGTACACTAGTGTTTGACATTTAATAAATATGTGTCTTTAGGCAAAAAAAAATTGTTTCAATTGTAGGTAGAATAAATTATAGAATGAGCCTCAAATAATAGAAAAAATGAGAAGAAATAATTGTTATGATATAGTGAAGAATCGCGCTCAACACACAGGGACAAAACCAAGTTTCGGGATGCAAAAGCAAGAGGAATTTATTCATACACAGGCGCCTGCAGACGCAGAGTCCCGCTCGGGTCAAGACTTGCGTGCCGGGCTTAGTTTGGGGGGGGGCTTTTTATAGAGCAGAAGCAAGGTACAGAAGCAGATGCATGGTTACAAGGTTATTATTAGTGCATTTCAATGGGTACAAGGTATGAGGAAACAGTATTGCCAAATTCAGAGGGGGCTATGGGTGAAACCGATTGTTATCGTTAACTTCCCAGTAGGGGCTGTTATCACTAACTTCCCGGTAGGGGCCTCAGGGTGGTGGCAGGTGGTCCGACTGCAAACGTCCTATCTTCCACTGCTAGTTTCACAAGACCTGGGTTAGAATCTTGGCTTATCGAATGGCTGATTACAGTTCTTTTTCTAAAATGGCCTTCCTGCTGTCAGTCGGGTCCTTCA